GCTCCCGGCGGCGCTCCCCGGGCAGGCTCCCCGCCGGACGGACGGACGGACGGACAGACGGACGGACGGCTGCGGTGTGGGGCTGGCTCAGGCAGCGGCGCCGGGGAGGTGCGAGCCGGTCTCTCTAGGCGGTGGGTTCATGCTGCAGCATTTCTGCGGGGCGGGAGGGGGGGAGAGAGACAAGAGCGCGGTCATTCAACACCAACGAAGGAGGCAGCCGGCGATACAAGGCTTTTGTCCCCTGCCCGTCTCCCGCCCTCCAGCTGCACTAGTTCGCTTTCCCTCTCTCCGGACTTGCCATCAACTCTCCAGTCCGCGAGCAGCTCCTGCTCTGCACCATCTCCCTTTCCAGCTCCGGGCTGCTGGGCTTGGCTGGTAGGGAAGCCCGGGAGCAAGAGGGGCAGCGAGAAGGTCCTCCTGCTCCTCCCTGACGGGGAGCGAGAAACCCGGGAGAGGCAGGATGCCCTGGAAGGCGCAGGATGCCCTGAGACAGCCCGGGAAAGGCAGGATACCCTGGAAGGGGCAGGGTGCCCTGGGACACAGCACAGACAGACAGGGACGAAGCTGCTCCGCTCCTCTCCAGGCTGCCAGGGGCTGCCTTCACCCGCGCAGGGCTGGGGGACGATGGGGCTGCAAACCAGCCATGCGGAAAGCTCGGCTCGGGCTAAGCTTCTTAAGGCAAAAATAAATTAAAAAAAAATTAAAAAATTAAAAATCTACGGGTTTTGGTCTTGCTAAAATAGATGCCGGCAAATTCCCTCTTTCCCCCAAATCTCTGCTTGGCTGTTAGAGTTATCCACATCCCCACACCAATCCCCTCCTTATGGGAGAGACAGCGCTCAACTTTCAGACCCTGAAAGCAAGCAGGACACGGCTTAAAACCCTACCCTACAAGCCCCCAAAACACACCTTCTCCTACGGGCAGGGACAGCGCTGCCCTCCCAAAACACGCCGCCAGCCCCGCTTGGCGGACGCTTTTCTACCCCCAGCCCTGTTTTACTCACCCCTCTGACAAATCCAAGCCTCTCCGGCTCCTACAGTGAGCAAAAAATCTTCTCAGTCCTGCCCGCTCATCCCAAACAGCGAGAGCCCCACTCTCGCTGCTGCCAGCGCTCAATTAGGAGAGGGGAGAAGCTGGGCTCTCTGGGAGACAGCTGCGCTCTCCCTGCCCACCCAGGCACGCGGGAGGGGAATGCCTAACAGCACTGAGCTACTTGGATGCCTCTGCTTTTCACCTCGGAGGGGACCCGCGGGGCCGCTGTCGCCGCCCGGTGCCCCCTCACGGCAGCACCGCCCGCCGCTCACTGCGACAGCGCCGGGGCACCGCCCCCCGCCACGCCCCCTGCCACGCCCCCGCCCGCCAACGGTCACCCCGCCGCCACCGCCAGCCAATCAACGCGCAGTGCTCCGCCCGCCCTCGCTTGCTATTGGCTGTCTAGCCTACCTCGCCTTTTCCATTGGCTGTCCGGCATGTCAGACAAGCCGCGGGGCCCGCCCCCTTGTTTACCACAGTTGCCCGGCTCCGGCTCGCGGGGCGGCGGGCTCCGCCCCTTTCCTCCAGCGGCGGCCTTCTATTGGCTGCGAGGAACGCGCCGTGCCCGCTGTGATTGGTGGAGGGGGGGGCGCAGCTACTTTAAAAAGGGGCTGAGGGGACGGGGCGGCTCCAGACGCTGTGAGAGCTCGGCAGGTGTGGGGTGGAGGTAGCGCTGCTTTTCCGTCACTTCACACTTTATGAGGGCTCCGAGGGGCGAATTTACCCGGCACAGCCCGCCCGAGGTCTGATGTGTGCCAGAAGGGCAGAATTCACAAGATGGGATTCATACCCGGAGGGCAACATGGCCCTGAGGGCATTGCCTCAGTGCCTGATAGGAGAAGGGCCCTCAGAGGGGGCAGGTTGGAAACCACCTTTCTGGTTTTTATGAGCCCACAGCCAAATGCAATGAACCCCAAATCCTTAAATCCTCACCCTTAACCTTCAAGGTACCACACCAAGTAAATTTGAGAGCGACCATGTGAGGTAATACTGTACCAGAAGAGAAGATGGTGAAACAGAGCTGCAGCTCATAAATGTTACAAAAACAAACCCAAACAAGCCTGCAGAATTAGCAATGAAAGAGAAGAAAGGGCAACACCCAAACCTGGCAGCACCTGGAATTGATCAGGAACAGCTGGATGGGGGGAATGGGGCTCCAGAGGTGGGATTTGGGTGCTGTGGGTAGGACGAGGCTCCCAGGAAAGGGTAAACACAACCACCGGAGCATCACTGTGACTAAACTTGGAAGAGCTAAAAGAGAACATTTTGTAGGCTGGAAAGGAGCTGGAGCTGAGAGGAAAGAAATCATCTGCTGTTTGCGTCTGCCTGCGCGCAGTGTGTGCCTTCTGCACAAACAACCAACACCGCAGGGGAGAAATACCTGAGCTGATTGCAGGGCCCCAGACTTTGAACTGCTCGGCTGAGTATCAGAAACATAACTGTGTAACTGTATTATCATTTTCCCATGGAAAGCACTTTAAGCAGGTAGCAGAACCACTCTAGGAGCAGGATTCTGGAGCTGCTCCTGACGCAGCCATGCCCAAGCATCATCTTCACCTTCACCTTCCTCCACGCCTCCACAGCCTCTGCAGGTTTTCCTCTTGTCAAAATAAACCTGAAAAGCCTCGTGCTTTTAGCTCTGGTGGCTGCCCACTGGACCTTGAACTCGGTGGCCACCCCTCGGAGGCAAATTTGCATCCTGATTGTTTGGGCTTGAAATCACCCTTTCAACCATCACCTGCGGTTTGGAGGCAGGACCCGGTTGAGCACGAGGGAGATGTGGGCACCACCGCTCACCCGCCACGTTTGGTGTCCTCCGGAGCAGCTGCTGGAGGAACGCTCGGCACAGCTGCTCTCCCTTCCCTGCCCTGTAGCTGCACCATGAGGGAGAAGAGGAGGAGACTCAGCTGCTTCATCTTGGCAGGTCGCGCAGGAGCTCGCGGAGCGCGGCAGATGCTCCACAGGCTCCTCGGAGCCCAGGGGAGCAGCTCGTAAAGGACGATTTGGTTTTGCTTCTTTGCCCGGCTTCACAAGGAGAAGGGGAGAACCCTGAGAGCCAGCTGCCAGTTCCAGTATTTCGAGCATGGATGCAGTTTGGCAGGGCTTTTACTGCTGACCTGCCTCGTGCAACCCCCCAGGGAACAGCACCAGCAAGACAGAATCGCTCCATGGGCTTCCATCACCCCTTCTCCCCACACCCAGCACCTGCCCCGGCCTCATTGAATGGAAATAATCCTTCACCTTCCTTAAATCTCCTCTTTCCCTTGGGAGACCTCACACAGCAGGCTGCATTTTGTCTCAGCCTTATAAAAAAAAAACCAACAACCACCAAACCCAAACCAACCAAACAAAACGCCACCAAACCAAACCCCTCCAACTATTCTGGTGGTGGTCCCTTGATCCTCTTAGACGTGGCCCCCGGATGGGAAAGGTTAGATGGCTCCGCTTCCTAAGAGGATTTGGGGGCATCAAGGAGGATAATAAAAATCGACAGCACAGAACAAACCAGAGGGATAATAAAACAGACAGTTCTGAGCAAATGGAAGGGCTACGCCTCCCTCCTCATTTCAGACAGCAGCAATGGAGAAGTTGGAGGCTTATCTTTTAATTAGGTTAAATTAGGAAATCTTTTTGTTTTGCTTTGTGTTTAGCATAACGTTGTCTTGGAGGTAAAAGCTCAGAAATGGAAGGTTTTCTAGATTAGGTTAAATTAAGATATTATGCTTCTTAAAGAAGACAAAGCGTTGTCTTCAAGGTAAATGTTTAATTACATTTTAAAAACAATTTTGTCCATGTAATAATAAGACAGAGCCCAGCTCTGCCTGTGACTGTGGTTCCAGATGGAAGCCAAATAAATTGAGAAATTGGTGTTGAAGGAGTTAGGAGGCAGAGTGTAATTACTGGGAAGATGGGGGTCCTGCTGCATTATGATTCTTGTTTTTAGCAGGTCTGGAAGAAATAATTTAGAGAAAATTACTTTTTTTTTATGGCCATAAGAAAAATAGAATTTAATATCCACCTTTCTATGAGGAAGAAAACTACGGAGTGATAGATAACACTCAAGGCAACGGAGTTTGGCCCGATAATTGCACTCAACCCTCCAGACTATCTTTTAAAGAGTCTTGATGTTTATTTTGCTCTCACTGCAGAAAATGCTCCCGTTGTGGCTGCAGGAGAGGCTGGGATGTCTCGTGATGCTGGAATAGCACTCCAGTTATTCCCCAGAAAGCCCTCTCTGGCTCTCAGAACCACTCCAGCTGGTGATTTTTAGGCATCACAGCGATGAAAGGATAGAGCAGGGAGATGGGAAGAGAGGCTCTGTGGTGAGGGCAGCAGGGTCAGAGTTAATGTGGTTCTGTGAAAGAAAAACTGAAAGGGAAAGAAAGAAAGGGGGAAAAAAGAAGGGGAAGGAAGGAAAGGAGAAGGCAGTGGGAGGGGAAGGGAAGGGAAGGGAAGGGAAGGGAAGGGAANTGGCCCCCGGATGGGAAAGGTTAGATGGCTCCGCTTCCTAAGAGGATTTGGGGGCATCAAGGAGGATAATAAAAATCGACAGCACAGAACAAACCAGAGGGATAATAAAACAGACAGTTCTGAGCAAATGGAAGGGCTACGCCTCCCTCCTCATTTCAGACAGCAGCAATGGAGAAGTTGGAGGCTTATCTTTTAATTAGGTTAAATTAGGAAATCTTTTTGTTTTGCTTTGTGTTTAGCATAACGTTGTCTTGGAGGTAAAAGCTCAGAAATGGAAGGTTTTCTAGATTAGGTTAAATTAAGATATTATGCTTCTTAAAGAAGACAAAGCGTTGTCTTCAAGGTAAATGTTTAATTACATTTTAAAAACAATTTTGTCCATGTAATAATAAGACAGAGCCCAGCTCTGCCTGTGACTGTGGTTCCAGATGGAAGCCAAATAAATTGAGAAATTGGTGTTGAAGGAGTTAGGAGGCAGAGTGTAATTACTGGGAAGATGGGGGTCCTGCTGCATTATGATTCTTGTTTTTAGCAGGTCTGGAAGAAATAATTTAGAGAAAATTACTTTTTTTTTATGGCCATAAGAAAAATAGAATTTAATATCCACCTTTCTATGAGGAAGAAAACTACGGAGTGATAGATAACACTCAAGGCAACGGAGTTTGGCCCGATAATTGCACTCAACCCTCCAGACTATCTTTTAAAGAGTCTTGATGTTTATTTTGCTCTCACTGCAGAAAATGCTCCCGTTGTGGCTGCAGGAGAGGCTGGGATGTCTCGTGATGCTGGAATAGCACTCCAGTTATTCCCCAGAAAGCCCTCTCTGGCTCTCAGAACCACTCCAGCTGGTGATTTTTAGGCATCACAGCGATGAAAGGATAGAGCAGGGAGATGGGAAGAGAGGCTCTGTGGTGAGGGCAGCAGGGTCAGAGTTAATGTGGTTCTGTGAAAGAAAAACTGAAAGGGAAAGAAAGAAAGGGGGAAAAAAGAAGGGGAAGGAAGGAAAGGAGAAGGCAGTGGGAGGGGAAGGGAAGGGAAGGGAAGGGAAGGGAAGGGAAGGGAAAGGAAGGGAAAGGAAGGGAAAGGAAGGGAAAGGAAGGGAAAGGAAGGGAGAGAAAAGGAGGAAAAGGAAATCAGCCCAACAACCCAGCCTTGTTTCATTGTAATGGAAAGGGATAGAACATCTAAAAGCATCCTCAAAACAGCACAGCCTCAGCATGTAAACCAGACACCCAAACTCTGCTGACAGCTACTACAAAGTACAGATAGTGACAACAAAAGCTGCTGGAACTGCCAGCTTTAGAGAGGAAGGGCTCCTTTACCTCCCGAGGAACAAGCGCGGCGGTGACAGAACAAGGGGCCACCTCTGGAGGATTCCTGACACCTCACCGTGGCATGGAGCCCAGTTTGTGGCCCAGCTTTCTGCAGCCTGATCCGAGGAGCTGATGAGTCCCCCCCTGCTGGGAACGGAGGGCTCCCGCTCCGTGGGATGGATGTGGCTGTTCCCACTTCCCACCCCGGGCTCTTACTCACCCGTGGCCCAGTGGGGAATGTTTCGGGGAGGACAAAGCTTCTGAGGCATCTTCCTGCTCCATGCAGCCCCAAGGCAGCTGTTCCCCACCTGCAAGCAGCAAGGTCTGATATTATCCAGGCATAGATGTGTCAGTCTCCCTGCAGTTGTGATCAGATAAGGGGAAATCCATACATTTAAACCAGCTGATCCATTATACAAACAACAGCCCCCAAACTCCTCCAAGCAGGGAGAATGAGCAAAACAGTCCCTGATGGCCTGTAATGACTCAGGGCAGAAAAAATCTGTCTGGTATTGATTATTTTAAGGTTTTAGAAACACAAGCAGAGGGCATGAGGCTGTGGAGAAGCCTGGATAATTAAGAGCCTCGTTATCTGCTCCATGAACGTGGGCTGCTGGGGTGTTTAACCTGGGAGAGTGTGCTCCTTACTTAAGGAACAGGGAGTGGGGAGCATGACTGCTTAGATTAAACCATGTGCTGAGGGATTACTAGGATTGTTTCCGTAGGAATTATTCTAATAAAACACTGAAAGGCTAAACTGTACTAATAATCCAACAGGTGATGGAAATACCACCAGTGCAGGGTGGATATATTGAGAACAGAGAGAGTTTCCTCTACCAACCTGCACATGATGTGAGAAGACTAATGTATAAAGTGGGTGATAAAGGCAGGAGAAGAAAAGAAAAGGAAGGAAAGGAAAGGATAAAGGTATAGAAAGACATGCTTAAGGCTTGGCTCCTTGGAGCAGCCTTTCTCCTCCTCCTCCTCCTCCTCCTCCAAATGATCCCATCAGCATCTAGTGACCATCCTGTGCTGCTGCTCCTGCCCAGGAGGAAGTTTGCAGGCTGGAAGGCACAAGAACGGATAAACCAGCAGTGGATTTTGCCCTGATTTAATTCAGTTTGTGCTGTGCAGGAGGACAAATTTCATGTGATAATTTTAATGAGCTTAATGTGTAGAAAAATGGATATTTAGCCCCCCGAACCCTCAGAATTCAGAGGCAACATCACACATATCTGCAGGTTTGGGTGCTTTTCCTTCAACTCCACATTCAGGCATATGAGATATTAATTATCTGAATTAACACTCACATTTAGGGATGCATAGAAGCCTCGCTGAGAATTCCAATGGTTCTCTGCTAGCAGGAAACATTTACACAATATAACCCCCACCACCTCAACCAGGCTTATATTTTATCTTAGAAAAAGGGAAAAAAGCCATTCACATCTGAGATAACAACCTGTTCTGTGTCTCTTAAACCAGAATTGTGTAGGAATGAGCTTTCATCAGAGGAAGAATCTTGCTTAATTATGGTGAAGGTCTCAGCAATCTTACCTCCTCTGTGCCAGGGAAAATATAAAACAAGCTAAAAAATAGTACAAAAGCAGAAACATAGCAGAAGGTGCATGGAGAAAAGAGCAGAAACAGTTCTAGTTTATTACTTTCCTGTAATACCAGGTGACTAATGTAGCAGCCTGCACATTGTTTCCCCATTAAAATCAGCATCATCAGAATGTCTGTGTTCCATTTTCCCCTACTTAAGTAAGGTAAGGGCCACGAGAATGCAATGAATCTGCTCTCGTGAATGTGGAGCAACAGCCTATTTTAGATGGCTTCAGAAATAAGATCCCAAGTGGAAAAAAAGTCTAAGAATAATTTTCAGCCCGAGACTTGACTTGTCAGAAAATGCAGTTCAGGCAAAGCAGAACTGCAGGTGAATCCGTGATGAACTCAGTGAAAGTGAAACAAACCCAGTTTTCCACAAACAGAAGCATTGAGAAAGCCCAATAATCTTAAACCAAACTTAAATATTTGTTTGGGGTGTCAAAAAAAGCATCTGGAGTCAACCCAAGCAGCAGTTTGTGTAAGATGTGGTGATCCCAGTGGCCTCCTGGGACTGAATTACCTGCTGTCTATAGGAGGTTTTCATCTGGAGTTGTTTGGAACAGAGAGATCTCCCCTCTTTTTGAGGTAAAATCTGGCTGTCCAACATTTCCTAGCAGACATCTGAATTGTTTGGGAAGAACCCAGGAGGTGACAGACCCATCTGACATCAGTGGGGACTGAGAACAGCTAAAAGCCTACCAGGAGACCCTACTTGAGAAAATACAGGAATTTTCCGGCTGCAGAAGGAGCCAAGCAGACCAATGCTTTTGGAAACTGCCAGGCTTCCTAGCAGTCATTAAAGACTGGTTTAGTTTTTAAGGAAAATAACCTCCCAAAGGGCGAATTTCCACTCATTTGACAACCATCTGTGCAGTCCAGAGGCATCCTCACGTGCCAGCAGCTATCCCTGCTCTCCCCCAGTGTGGTAATCTCTGCTCTCCTCGAAGGGGTGGGCTGGGTTTGCTCTGAGAACGTTGTCAGGAACGCAGATTTCACACACACAAAAAATCTTCTTTCATCATATAAATATATCCCACTGTCGCTGCTTTTTAAAAGTGAATTTCAAGGCAAGCCAGAAAATAACAACCAATACCTTCAAACACTGGGAAGATTAATCACCATGTGGGAACACGGGAAGAAAAGCCTTTCTGCTCATCACATTCATTGTCCACAGACTAGAAGACAAAAAAAAACCCCAACAAACCCATATATTCTTTTGGTTCTGCTCTGTGTTTTGGCCAAAGATGAAACACAGCCATACATTTCCATTACCTGCCTCAGAGCTCTCGTGGTTTATATCAGCCCCACTGCCCCAGCTGCCCCCTGGGTTAATAATTGTGCCACGGGGTCAGTGATTTCAGCAGAGCTGTGACAGTTTTCAGCTCTGGTGCTGAGTCTGAAGAGGATCCTGCCCAACGGGGAGAGTTTTAGATGAGGATTAGTGTGTGAATTCTTCTGGACTAATAGATAAGTGCTACAATAATTTAGGACAGATTTCCAGCTTGTGGTTAGCAGACCCTTGGGGTTAATACACTGCTCAGTAGCAATCTATTAAAAAATACTGGAGAAAAAAACAATTTCATATAAACCATATGGGAAGATACACAGAGGACGTTTGTCTTTAGGAGACAAGTCAAAGACTAAAACCTACCAGTTTACACACATTGCAAAGAAATTTATCAAAGCAGCTGTTACAGGACAAGCAGTTTTGGAATCTTTCAGCAAGAGGTAACAGTATGAGAAACTTTGGGGTCAGATTATTAATCAGAGTTATTAATTGGAGTTATTAGACTTGATGGCAAGGGAGCCACGGAGGTCCTCTGGCCATTTGTCCACAGACAGGGTAAGTTACTGTCCAACGCTGCTGATTTTAATTGGATTCTCTCTGACACTTTTTAGGAAATCCTTGATAAACTCACTGGATCGAATTTTCAACCCCTCTTGATTGTTTTCCTGAAGTGATGCAGAGAGACCCTGAGTGGGCTGCAGAGTCACTCCCCTGCACGTGGTCAGTGAGAAGCCTGAGCAAACAGATCCATCTTAGAGCCAAAAGTATTTTCCCCCTTGCCCTGGTGCCAGGCTCATTTCCCTTAAACTTTAATGCCTTTGAGCCAGGCCATTATGAGCCAGGCCAAGAGAAATAAGGACACCTCAGAGCATTTGAATGGGATAACATAAATACTTCCATTGTAGGGAAAAAGGAAGCATTTCCAAAGAGCTAAAAGTCATTTAAACTGTGGTGCTGCAATGAAAATTCCAGCTTATAGCTCTCTATATTGGCCATCCTCAGGTGACCACTAAGGCTTGGCTAAAATCATCTGTCAACTGTAGCTCAGGCTGGAGGGTGAAGCAGATCAGGAGATCCCTTCGGGCAGTTATTTTAAGATTTAAGGGCATTTTATTGGCACCACTCAGATGTCACCAGCCTCCTTCTGGAGTGATGCAAAGCTGCCAGGTTATTGATTGGGATAAATTGCACAGATCCTGGTGCCTGTCAGGTGAAGTCCCTCCCCAGGGACTTTCAAGGTAAGCAGAATTTAAACCTCTTCCAAGGAGGTCAATAGTACGTAGGGAAAAAAGAAAATATCAGGTTAATGGGGCAGATGTTCCAGCAACTAAATGTATTTCTATTCCCTGTAGAGAGGAGTAGAAGTTGTTGAAGCGCTTTGCCAAATTACAGAATTACCCTTTTCCCTGCCCAGCCATTAACCAAAACAGGAAAGCAGAGCCCCTGCGGAGTTCAGCGTTTCCAGGGTGGGAGTTTCTGTGCCAGATCATCAGGATCCAGGCCAGAAACAAGAGCTAAGATTTTAAACCATCACAGGAAGTCATCAGCTAAAGCCATGAAAGAAGAGTCCGCACTTTGCAGACGTGCCGGTGTCACCAGTCCTATTTTGCAGGTTATTTTTTTCCCCTCAGAAAGGCAGGATTGTTGCTCTGTTTTAAAAATAAACTTTTCTTGAGTGTCCATGTCCCCCTGCAAGGCCAAATCCCTTCAGCTGGTTGTCCTGGACACCGCACTGAGCTCCCTGTCAAACCCTGAAATACAGAAAGGGCTCAGTGCAGCCCAAAATAACTTCCAAGTCACCTTCAGGGTGAAGTTCATCCATCCCGACCTGAGAAACAGGTCACTCCAAACCTCGCTGGGATGAATCACTGGCTGCACTATATTTATCCCGAACCTGGGGAGGTCTGCACCAAATTGTTGACATTTTGCCAGTCTGAGCCCAGTGAGCAAAGATGTCCCACCTACCTCGTGGCATCTGCAAGGGCATGGCCTGTAGGTGCCTCATCATCCCAGCCCTGGAGAGGACACTGCACTCTCCTGACAGAGGAGCTCCCTTTTCCAGTATCATCCAGTATCCCGACTGTGGGGCTTTGCTGGTGCCGGATGGCCAGCACAGCCCCCCTGCCGTGGTGGGAGAGACGAAGGTTTCGTCCTCCAGGTTGCTGCTGACTTCAGAAATGTCCTCAGAGGCCTCTCAATTTTTCCTGGATCAGTATAAAATAAAACAATTTCTTGGTGCTGAAGACCTGTGAAACAGGAAAATGCTTTTCCTTGCTGGTGTCTCCGGGTGGTCCCAGCCCAGACTCACCACATCATTCCCCATCTGTTGTGGAAGAGGTCCCATGGAATGACAAATCTCATAGCTGGACCCATAGATCCAACTATTTTTCAGCTTCCCTTTTCCTACCTTAAGCCTGCACACAGGGCAATGCCTAATCCACGTGAAAGAAGAAAAATCTTCCTTGGATCCTCATCCAGGATAAGCAGTTCCTCTTCAAGGACCCCAACAAACCCTGTATAGGTCGGTGCCTTCTCCCCCTCCTCCATGTCAGGGTGACACTCTGCCTGGCTGAAATGCCAAAAAAAATGGGAAAGGAGGTATTTGTGTTGCTGAGCCTTGAGCTGCTGTGTTAGCTCACAGTTTTTAATCCTGGTCTCCTGTGGGCTGCTCCAGCCATGCACGCTGCATACAGATGGAAAAGGCTCTGACCAGGTGGCCAGGCTGCAAAACAGAAAATGAGAGCTGAAGAAAAACAACAGTTATGGGATTATAAAAATACCTGCCAGGTATCAGAAGTGCAAGGGAGGGGGAAATCAAGTAGTTACAGGGGAAGGGAGAGGTAAGGAAATTATTGTCTCAGGGTGGCATCCTCCTGTCCCAGCTTCAGAAAGGAAACAAACCCCAGAGGTTTCTTGGTCAAGGTGTGGAAAACATGACCTGTGGGGACATCAGCCTTGCTGATGGGTTGCTGCAATGCCATCACTTCATGTTGCTGATATTCTCCCAGGTTTTGTGGCTCTTGGAAGCCGGAGACACTTGGGACAAGCTGAACTTCCTGGGAGCACAGGCCCAGGAATGCTGTAGGGGACATGGAGTTAATCAGCGTGGCCTGTCCGAGCACCTCTGTAGGAGCAGTTAGCACTGTAGGGAGGCTGGAATTGCTCATTTTCTCACTGGTTGGTAGGGAAAAAGCAATGTCACCTGGTGGATTTTGGAAGGCTGTTGCTTTGTGTCTGCCTCAGTTGGTCAGGGGGTTTTTCCAGCCATCACCCCGGCACAAGTCACTGAGCCCATGATGGCCCCTGGGCTGTGTGGGGTGGAGGAGGGAAGACATGGGACTCACCTGCAGGATGGATGGAGCAGCAACATCCAGGAGCATCTCAAATCCAGGCTGGGAAGCCTGCAGGAGCCAGGGAAGCCTGTGTGTACTTGGCCAAAGGCAAACCCAGCTCAGCCTTTAATGCTTTGCTAATGGCCTGCTTCCAGAGATTTCCCCCCAAACTTGCTCAGGGCTCTTTCCATTTCATCCTGGAAAATCCCAGGGTTGTCATCAGAAGCTTAGAGAGATAAAGGAGGGGAAACTTCAGCCCCCAAACACCCATTGCTGAGAGTTGTCCTGGAGAGGAGGAAAAATTCAGGGACAGATGCTCAAATGGTTGATGGCAAAACACCTGTTACATGGAAGGGTCTCTTCTCTTGAGGTACCTGTTCACCTTCTTGCTCTTTGAAAGGATTTTTGCACCTGGTGGATCAAACTTTGGAGGAGAGGGAATACAGTTATGGTACCAGGGCTGGAAAGGCCTTTCAGATCTAACAAATTTTCTTTTTTTTTCAAACAACTTGGAAGCCTGTGTGTGGTTTTAAAGAGATCTGGTAACTCAGGCAGCAGTTTGGAGTTCAGCACAGAAGTCATTAAGTGACATCTCTGAGCCATGTGTATAAAACCAGAGAAGATATCGATAATGGTTTTCTCCCGGGTTACAATCTACTGCATTTATTCTCACTGCACAGCCAGAAACCACCTTTCCAGATATTGCATTATGTTATCACTCCAGCACCTCCCTGAGATGGCCGTAGTTGGTCCCAAATCAGATAAAGCCCAAGCTCATCAGGGCAGCCAGCCTTTAAATCACCATTTAAAGGAGGCTTTATCACTCCCTGCTTCAAGCTCTGCAGCCACAGCGTGAGGCACGAAGCAGGTTAGGATTCAGCTCACCTTGCTCCAGACGGAATGTTTCCCAGATTCTGGCCTCCATCAGTCCCAGCCCAGCGTGTGGTTCATCCTGAGGGTCTGAGAGTGAGTTAATCTCGTGGAAGAGACGGATTCGATGATATTTGACTGAAGCTGGCAGGGGCAGCAGGAGGGGAGAAGCAGTGACAATCCAAAGCAGGACCACACCTGCATCCCTCCAGGTTAAAGTGAGATCAGCTTGCAGCCATCGGACCCCAGCTGCTGATCACAGCCCAGGGAAGGGCTGGAAAGTGGGATCACATTGTCAGCTGGGGTGCAGAGGTGGTGTGGGGACACACAAGGGACCCCCGGGGTGGATGAGTCTGCTCCCTGCTCTCAGAGCAGGGACATCACAGACTCCCCTTCATTATCACACAGGGACCAGCCACTCACAGGCATCCCATAAATCACAGCTTGTTGCAAAGCTGGCGGGTGGGTGCCCTGGGCCATCCTGGAGCTGGAATCACACGGCTGTGGCAGTCACAGGCACCAGCATCCCGAGCTCCCCAGGGGCTTTTGGTCAGCCAGCCGAAACCCAAACCTCTCATCTCCCAGATTTTGCTCTGAGGAAGCAATACTTTAAACTTGTTTGCGGTTCTCTCTCCCTGCTGCTGTGTCAGGCAGGAAAGGAAGAGATGTAATTTTGAGCTCAGCACTATTGCACCTCCTTATGCAACGTGGTTAACGAGACGAGGGAACTTGTAGCTGGGAAGATCCACTCCAGCCTGTGCTGGCTCTGTCTCATCCCGGCCTCAAGAGACCACAGTCTCGTTTGGAGGGCATAAAAAGCAGAACTGGAAAGGCACAAAGCATCAAGGGCAGGGGGAAGCACCGATGAAGTACAGCCAGCACAGCAGCCGAGCTTCTCCTGTCAGGGTTGTGAAATGACTCGTGTGCTCGTACCTGTCTGAAGCCCTTAAATAACTTCACCAGAAGCTCTCCCAGTTCTCCCATCACAGTCTGCAGACGTGAGTCGGGTCAGCTTGATATATAAATGGGAGACCACAGAGGAGCAAGTGACCCAGATTCTGACAGACTTTCCCCAGAATTTAATCTTGATATACAACGCCAGCCGTCTGCTGGATCACAGTATTTTAACCCATGTGAAAAACAAAGTCCACCCTCTTGTCACCCCTAAAAGCAAAAATCCTGCCTGCCCAGCACTGACTCTTTTCAGACACAATCCCATCTTGCTGATGAGTTCTGAGCAACTGCCCAGCCCCCAAATGCTCATGGATCCATCAAAGCCTCAAATATAAATGCTGAGGATCAAATCTGGCCCGATTTAAGAAGCAAACCCCAAGCAGAGCAGCACAGCCCCATCCCCCTCCTCAGACATACCACTGGGTGACAGATCCTCCCAAGGACCTCGGGCTGTGGCTTCTGGGATTTATTTAATTACTCTGAGAGGTGAGAAGGTGGATGTGGGGAAGCTGTGAGTCAAAGGGCTCCACCTGTGGATGGGGAAACCTTCCTGCCTGACCTGATGCTGAACAGCTGGGAGGCAGCTGGGGCCGGGCAGGGACGGCTTTGACTCACTGCCTGGCACCAGAGGTCAGTGCTGTGGATTTCTGCATCATCTCTGTGCTCACACACAGTAAATATCCCTGACTCCAGCTGGACCACAGCTGTAATAAAGCTCTGTGAAAGTCAGCTGGCTCATCTTCCGGCTCATGCACCAACCACGAAATTACAGGTCCCTTTTATAGCCTCTTTATTAAAAGGTGATTTCACGGGAGCTGTAAAGGGGGTGATTTTCAAATGGGAGCTGGATCTGCCGGTCCAACAGATTTTTTGCATCACGCTCAGCCCTCTTTAACCACCCACCTTCTCTCACTCTGACTCTTTTTTTCACTCACATGTGAAACCAAGTTGATCTGAAAGTCCCTGCCAGACCATGCACCTGGTTCCTGTCACTGCCTCTGCTGGTGTCTCTCTGATGCCACCATGCCCAAAACCTGCAGCCTCTTTCCTTGGGAGCCCCTCTTTCTCCACGGACACAGAGCTTCCCTGACCCTTCCTTACAAACCAAACCAGCCAAAGAACTCTGACACGCTTTCCTGGTTTTCAGCATTTTCCTTTGGGCTGGATGAAGCCCAGCCACTTGTCTGCACGTCAGCTCTTATTCTACAAAGGTTAAGTGATCAGTAATATTTTGTATTTTCAAAGGTTGCCTCACTTCAGTTTAATTTGCATGTTCTTTGCAAACACACCCTGCTTGAATCACAGGGGGAAAATGCAGGGAATGATGACCTGGGAATGTACCACATGGCAATGGGAATCAAAGGACATTAAAAGCAAATCTCTGCTGTTCCTGGCCATGATAAGATCCCAGTACACACGGGCTGGGTTTTAGATCCTGTTACTACGTACGGGTACATTGATTAAACCTTTGTTCTTAACCTGAGCTTTCCAAGGGAGCCTGTAAACACGGTGCACTATCATAATTTCAGTTATAATAATACATGAGCTCAAAGGAAGGCTCTCAGCTGCAGCTTTTTTATATTTAAAATCTTTCTGGCTGAGCAATTTCAACTTACTATTGATCCACATGACGCATTTGATTCCTATAATTGAGATTGGAATTAAAAAAAAAACAAAACCAGCCTTTCTGTTTCTCCCAGAATGTTTGTTTCTCACATTTGACAGCTCTGTGCGTGCGTTGCTCAGGCTTTTTCCATGATTAAAACGATGGCATTTTTCAAGAGTAGAAAGCTGAAGCTGCCTCAGCCCAAAAGTCACGGAGGAGGCTCAGATGTGGGGATGGGGGGGGCAAAATACCTGGGTGTTTTCCCACCCATTGCCTTTTAAATGCTGAGCGGCTGCTAAAGTTATTTTCTGAGGGATCACAGAATCCCAGACAGGTTTGGGTTGGAAGGGAAGTTAAAGGTCACCCAGTGTCACCCCCCCTGCCATGGGCAGGGACACCTCCCACTAGCCCAGGTTGCTCCAAGCCCTGTCCAACCTGGCCTTGGACACTTCCAGGGATCCAGGGGCAGCCACAGCTTCTCTGGGCAAACCTGTGCCAGGGCCTCCCCACCCTCACAATAAAGAATTTATTTCTAATATTTAATCTCAAGCTACTCTCTTTCAGTTTGAAGTCCTTCCCCCTTGTCCTGTCACCTGGGAATTTGGAAAGGATAAACTACAAATAAGACTGAGGCCAGCTTGGAATCCGACGAGCAGGTTCCTGATGCTGCAGGCTCAGTGATCCTCCCCTTCCCCTCCTGCTTTCCCCTGATCCAACAGAATTTACATCAGCTGAACTCCATGGAAATTCTTGTTTCACATGGGATGACCAGGAGGCACGGACTCAGAAAGAGCAAGCCTGAAACTCCCCTCTCTGGGCAGCCAAATGTGCTGGCAGTGACTCTCGGTTTAGATTTGTCTGTAGGTAGTGTATTGATGGGGAAAGTGCTGTGTATACGCTTGTTTGTTTGCAAAAAAGGTTAAAAAAAAAATTCTATTAAAATCCCGCACCTCTGGGACTGTCTTTGAAAGGCATGTGATGTGACTCCAGGAGAGAAGTGATCAGCCTGCAATAATTTAGATGTTCCTGTTGCTATGGATACTTTCTTTAAGTGAAGCATACCATTATAATTTAAATTTCCAGTAACAAAGAGGAAAAAAAAAAGAGAGCATATTAAAAGTAGTAAAAAATGCCAGAGACATAACTGTTTTATTCTTTGCTGTCAGTTTTACTTGTGCTGTGACAGCGTATAGAAGTGATAAAATTGCCACATCTGAGCAGATTTACTGCTTTTACACATTTTATTACATTAATTAGACCTGAGGCTCGTATGTATGAGTGTGTGATAGAGGCAATAGCCAAGTGACAGGCCGGGTGCTGGGATGTCACATTAAAAGCAGGGGGAGGAGGAGGGTTGTAGCTAAAACAAGACCTGACAAGCAGCAGGTTTGGGGGGGTTGTTACAGCAAGATCAGCGGAGGGAGATGGAAACACAAAGGTACAAGCCAAATAACTCCCTGCAAAGTATCATCATGAAGGCTTTTAAAGCCAAAACTTTGCCTGGAGTGGTGTTACCATCCGTGGGATTGTAGCAGCCGAGACAGAAACTGCTGCTGTGGTTTGCAGGGAACGTCGGGAAGACTCTCGTGTGGAGGTTGGAGTTTTTTTGCTGGGCGAGAAATTGCTGATGGTGATGGCTGGAAAGGTGAAATAAAAAAAAAACCCCAAACCTTGGAGGCAGAAAGTGAGAGATTTGGAGAGGAATTTGCAGAGTGGTTGGTTTAAAAGGAGGGGAGTTAAAATCCCCCTGGGTATCCCCCCGCGTGGCCGGAGAGACGATGGCTTGGTGATTCCAAAGTGGAAACCGTGGTGGCAGAAGTTTGGGGCAAACAAGGTGCCTGGGGAATAAACTGGTACCCAAACACTGTTTTTCCTCACGTCATACCTCAAAAGACCTGTGTGCCAAGGTCGAGTAGGCAGCAGAATCCCTGCTTGGCCACAGCCTGACGTGGGTGGCTGTTTTATCCCAGTTGTGACCAGCAACGTGGTTCCCACCCCGTTCCCTCAGCCAGGACAGGAGCTTTGGCCTGAGCCCCTGGGCTTTAAAGCCAAGCTTTTAAAAATCCATATTTTTTCCCTCCTCGCTTCTCTTTTCCAAGCTGAGAGCAGCAGCTGGGTGAGTGATAAATCACAGGAGCCAGCGGGGATTTCAGAGCCAAACCTCGACGGGGTCGATGTTCCCAACCTGCCTCTCCCGATTCCTTTCGCAGGGAGGGGAGCGCGGCGGCCCTGGCACGGGAGCAGTGACGTTGGTGAGAATCACCTGGCTCCTGCAAAGGAAAAGTGGAGAGAGGGAAGGGTTGGGAGGCGACAGGGTCCCTGCCCGTGGGCACAGCCGGCACCGCTTTGCCCGGTGCTCCCACGCTGGGTTGGCTGGCACAGCCCAGCCCCTGTGGGGCTCCCAAAGACCACGCCACGGGGAACCAGGAGCTGCAAAGACACGTCTGTGCTCACAGCCCAGGCAGACAGCTTGCCAGCAGGGCAGTGCCCCGGGAGAGGCTGGGAGCTGCCAAAGGTGAGCGGTGCCAGCCGGGCGCTGGGCGGGAGGCAGAGCCCCAGGCTCCAGTGCCCTGCTCAGACACGCTGGCCACGGGCCAGCAGCGGCGCGTGGCCCCGATAGCAGAGCTCCTAATCCGCTTTCCGGGCAGAGCTGAGGGTCCCTCTGGCTCTGCTGGCCAGGAGCTGCCACGCTGGGAGCTGCTCCAGAGCCAGGAGTGAGAAGGAGTCGCTACCAAAGAAGATCAGAGCCCAGCAGGGACAGGACCAAGTGTGTGTCCAGCCTGAGAGGCCGGTGGCACTTAATTAACCAGGCACTCGGTCACTAATTACCTTCTACCTGCACATTACCCTGTGCAACTGCCTCCAGTCTTCCTGCACTTACTACATCTGCTGTCTTGGCTCCAGCTCTCTGGCCCCATTTCCACTCCCACCTCAGAAGACTTCCTCTTCCTGCAGCTTTTAATGACTTGACATCCCTCCTTTTTGTAAAGCCAATGTTCCTCCTCGGAGCCAAGAACCAGCTGGAGATGTCTGCTTTTAGCAGGGAAGAAAAATAACAACCAACTCCCAGCAACCCCCAATGCTCTTTCCCGTTGTCCTTCCCCTGAGCATCAGAGGAGAGGTGCTAAATAAATGAAGTAATGCAATATTAAGACTCCCTCTGTCATAAGCAGAATCCACTCACTCCTGATAAATTGCTCGCAGTCAGATGCCGGCAGAATCATGGAATATCCTGAGCTGGAAGGGACCCACAAGGATCATCAAATCCAAATCCTGGCCCTGCACAGACACCCCAACAATCCCACCCTGGGCCTGAGAGCCTTGTCCAAACACCCCTTGAGCTCTGGCAGCCTTGGGGCCATGACCTGGGGAGTCTGGGGTGGGTGGGACAGATGGTCAGCAGGATTTAGGGGCAAAAAAGTTAAGGAAGGGGGCATAAAAAAGTTAATTTTTGACCAGTTTACAGATTTTTGGCACTGAAATTATGGCTTTTCTCAGAGGGAGATGCTTTCACACGCAGAAGGGGGTTGGCAGAGTAACCCCTCACCCCTCATTCGTGCAGACCAAGGGTGGCTGTGCTGTGGGATCACTCCTGCACCGAGCACTTCAAACCTGGGGAGAAGTTCAAAAGCAGAGGCAGAGACACACGCACAAAATACCCCTCCAGCACTGCGTGCTGACCCGTGGTGAGCTCCTCCTGAGCCAGCCCTGCCCTGGGCTGTTGGCAAACACTGCCTGTGTTTTCTGGTTCAGCTCCCCTTGGCTTCCACAGGACAAATCTCATCTTCACAGGCAGCCGGCACGCAAGGCTGACGTGTCAGAGGGGGACAGCAGTGCTCAACCAACACCCCCCTTTCCCACCCAATCCCCCCTCCATCCCCAGCCAAAAGGCACTTGTGCTTCTCCACGAGGACTGTTATTTCTTGCTGCAGAGCACAGAAAGCCTGGCAGGGCAGCCCATGGCTGTAAGAGCCACAACGCAGCATTCAGGTGTTCAGATGAAAGGTGGCTCTAGTTGTGCGTGGAAAAAGGAACAATTTGGGGGAACCACAGCTCTGCAGCTTTTGCTCAAGCTTGGCACGAAGCTACAAACCCTCTTGGTGCTCTGAGGAGAGGAGAGAGGTTCAGGGCTCGGTACCTGTCACACTGCACACCTTGTGCTCCACAGCTCAGCACTTCCCTGAAGCAGCTGGTTTGTAACCTTCGAGCTGGGTTTGGCCTCGACTCACAGAACAACAGCCATCATTCAAGAGCCCTCGCTGAGCAGAGGAAACAGCAACACTTGACAAAACTTAACATCTCCACCTAAACCCAGCCTGCAACTTGGCAGCAGCAAGCTGGGTTCGCTGTTGCACTTTTGGGGATGCTCTGAAGGAGTTTAACGAGTTGCAGCACCAGCACTTAAAACATTTAGCCCCGAAGCAGCACGTGGCTCGTGCGAGCTGCAGGTTCTGCTTCCTTAGAGGTGATTTGAGAGGGAGGCTGAAGACGGGCTCTCCGTCAGCTCCCTCGCCCACGCTGGCTACCGGCTGTGGGATGGATGGAGCTGTTCCATCCCGTACACACCCCGTGCCAGCACAGGGTGACAGACCAGCCTTTCACAGCACAGCCCACGCCAACACCTCTGCTGCTGCTGCGGCTGCTCCGAGGGAGGGAACGGGCAGCAGAATCCCTCCGTGTCCCCCCTGGAAAAACACGGGGCTGAGGGGAGAGGAGCCACCAGCTCCCCCAGCCCACCCGAGCCTCCCCCTCCCTCCCTCGCAGCCATCAGAGGGGAAGGAAATGGATGCTGAAAGTTTCTTAACCGGCAGTTAAAAAAAGGTCACATCCGAACGGAAAGATCAATTTGTTCCTCAGCACCGCCATCAGTTATGCATGAAGGCACAGCCTGCCAGTGCTCAGCACTCATAATCTGGGACAGCTCACCCTGGAACAGGCAATTTAAACTGAAAAATGAACTTTTAGTCCTTTTTTTTTTTTGTCAGCACTGTGGGATGAGAGGTGTCTCTGCAAAGCTCCACCCGCAGCCCCACTCCAGCACCCCAAAGGGAGTGGGTGGCAGGTTAAACCTGTCAGCACCCCAGATGGGTTTCCCAATGCACTTCCCAGACAAGGTTGGCAGCCTGGTTGGCTGGGAAGTGCAGGAGCCCAACAAAGGCAGGAATTGCAAAGGGATGCTGAGCACACGGGGCTGTGCTGGGCTCTCCAGGCTGTTTTTATTTAAAAGGCAGCTGTACAGATTCAGCTCCCCCCCAGGGAGAAGCACTTTGTGACTCAGAAATTCTATAAATTAAAGAGATTTTGGGGGTTTGATGCTACTGGCATCACGTTTTTCTGCAGACGAGCCTGAAGCACTGACCTCCCTCTCCTCACCCATCACCACCCCCTTACCTGGAGGCCAATGCAGGGACAGACTGTACATCCCTCTGTGCATCCCAGGGGGCAACATCCAGTCCCATAAGCACTTCCTGGAAGCAGAACCACGGACTAGTGTCTGACTGCAGCCCTCTTCCCACCTGGATGGCACTGGAATCAGCTGTCCAACAGACACACACCTCCTAAGGATGTTTCCAATCACTTCCTGCTGTGCATCAAGAGACAGGGAGAACTTAACCAGAAATACAAACACTTCTACACATTAAAAGGACCCATGTAAAAATAAAGTCACCCAGCACAGACGCTCCAAAAAAATGGTAGAACTTTTATTTCCCTCGGTACAGATTTTTCTTTACAGCATCAGGTTTTCTTAAAAAACTATATACACACATATATAGTGTTGTGCACTTCGGTATCTGCTCCTAGAGTCTCTAGAAAAGGAGAAAGATCAATGTACAAAGAAATCCTCACAGTCCATCCTACAGCTCAGGCTGTTTTCTGGGGAGATCAGAACTCCTTGAGTCGGGACAAGGCACTGGCTACAACCCCTGCCTGTGCAGGAGGTTCATGTCTCTCCCCTGTGCCTCTGCAGCAGGGACAAGCTTTGATAGTTCCTTCAATCACAAGAGGCTGGTGCTGCACACAGGATCAAGGAAGTCATGGGCACAGTCGTCTGAAGATGTAAAATTGCTTTAAACCCCGTTTTGCAGGATACACAGAGCACACGTTTTATTAAGAGACATGATGAGTCAGCTCCACGAGTCCTCGACACCTTCTCACTCTAACACTTAGGAGGGGAAAAAAAAATCTCAAATCTAAGTCAGAGTCACTCAGCTGCTTCCTAATGAATTCTTACAGCTGACAGAGAGGGTTTTTTTTTTTCCTGCGAGCAGTTTTAAGGGAGTTATGAAGAGCTATCTGGGGAATGAATTAGTGCTTCAAACCCAAGTTACAAATCTATAAAACAGATTAGTATACTTCACATAAGGCCACAAACACTGCAAACTGTCAGTGTGACTATTTAGGATCATTAAACTTAATCTTTTAATTAGCATAAGCTTTATACCTCCATTACTTATTTTCAGTTCCAGGAGCAGATGAAGCAGCTTCCTGAGCCTCCTGGGAGCTGTGGCTGTCAGGGAGCAGGGGATCCAAGTACCTGGAAGGGGCACCTCTTGCTAACTGAACATCCAGGTATTGGTCTTGCCCAATCCAATTCCACTGGAGTCCATCGAGTGAGCAACAACCAAATGGTTTTGAGGCAGTAAGAAGTCATGGACAGGCAAATCCACTCAGCCAGGCTGAGAACACAGACCTATCCTGCTGCTGGTCCACCCAAGCTGCCACTTCCAACACGCTTTAGCAGAACAAATCATTCCTCCTTGGTGGTTTTGCTTTCAAAGCCAACAGTGCAAAGGAGCTTCAGTATTTTGAGTCGCATCAGAGATGGTGGACATGAGGAATCAGCTTTGAAACAGAGCTGCAGCATTGCCAGGTTGGGTTATTTTTGGGTAAATAGCTTCTGAAGAGAAAATACAGGCACTGCTTACCTCGACAACTCGGACCATTGCTTTCAGTTCAAGTTTTAAAGTGCAAAACTTCGCAGAGTCTTTGGGTAAAAAAAGTGTCAATTCCCACATGGAGCTGGTGAAGAAATGGCCAGAACCCGCAGGGGTGATTGACAACTGTGAGAGTGTCACAGACATTCATACAAAAGCAAGATCTCTGCCACCTCTTTGATTTAACACTGTCAGCAGCTGCTGCAAATCTCCTCCCCTCGCCCAGGCAGGTGACGTGTTGTTCAAGAATCAGTGGATTAGTAACAGTTGTGCTTGGAATTGCATTTGCATCTGCAGACCTTTGTCTAGAGGATACACACAGAGGGACTTTGGTGGTGCACAGTCTGTTTTCAGAGAGCAACAGGCACTGCTGAAGGTTCTCCCATGGTATTATTGCCACGTAACACTGTAGATGCTCTCCACGCCTTCCAATAACACATGTAAACGGTAACGGCTGGGAATAAATATGTTCAAGAGCATCTCGTGGTTTAGATAAAAACAAGGTATAAAAATCTGCATCAGGTTTCTAAAGCTTTGGTCTAAACTGTGCTGTAACATCACCTGACCTGGAGAAGAGCCCTTAGAAGAGTCCCTTGTGTACAGCACCTGCAACAGCACGATCCAGTCCAGAGACTTTTAGTGGTTATTCTCTAGTCAGCTCTTAGATGCATTTGACCTCAGAACATGAACAGATCATCCTTCTCGCCTGTGGTGGAATCTATTTTGTTCCAGTCTACAGGGGAGAGCGTTTCTGCACTCTGGATGTCCTGAGCTGTCAGCCCCGTGTCGAGGACGTGAGGGTTTGTTCTTGACTGAGCCAACCTAAGGGGGGGAGAAAAACACAAAGTAAGAACCCAAATCCTGCTGGTTTATAGCCCGGATGCCTGATGCATCCATAACACTGCAGCTCCACATTTCAACACCCTCCAAGGGAATTAAGTGGTTCGGGAAGGGGGGAGCTGGCACAGAACATTTGCAGCGCCCTCGAGGGCCGTCGCAGCTTTGCTGCTGGTTTGTCCCAGCGTTTCCCCTGCAGGCATCCAGGGAATTTGCAGTCTGGACATCCCATATATTAACAGCCTGGCTGTTTTCCTCCCCGGAGCTATGGCTGGGATCTGATCTCTGCTGCCCAAAGGAGCAGCCTGGGTGCAGTGACTCAGTGTCGTGGTGCTGTGTCTGGACAGGCAGCGTGTGCTGTAGCTCTGCCCGAGCATTAACCCCTCGGGTTAAGACACAGAGGACTCAGCTGATGTTTAATAGCTCCCAGGATCAGCTTTAGGAGCTTTTCATCCCAGATGTTTCGCAAAAACCTAACGAGCCCCAGTTTTTTGTTGTGTTATTAAATACCTCTGTGAAAAATGCAGCAGTGCAGCATCAATTCTCCCCGGGCTGAAGGTTAACTCAAACATTTGGTGTTTCATCAAAAAAAGCCTCAGATTAAGCCACGTTTTTTAATAAAGAAGAAAAATGTCCAGGGATGATGATGATGTGGCAGGAATGCTTCTGGAAGCACCCGCCTTGGAGGATGAGCAGCCCAAACACTGAGTCACTACCACAAGGCCGAGGGTGATGTGACAGCTCAGGATCCAGCAACCCAAAAACAAAGCCCACAACCAGCAACATCTGCTTCATTAAGTAGGGCAAGGAGCAGGGGCTGAGGAAAACAGCCAACATCAGGATGCAAATTGAAGCAGCCCCTTTATCAGCCACATCTTGGGACAAGGCTGCTGTGGAAGTGGAAGCTGTAAATCATCCCCGAGAGCCAAACAAGACCCAGAGGGCTGTTTCCTTAGGGCTGAGCAGGCAGTTTTGCAGTGCTGCAAACCCTGGCACAGGCAGATGGCTCTCAGGGAAGGGACAGTGTTGGGTCAGCCCTGCTCCTGCCCAACTCCCTCCTCCAGCACCTCCCAGCCAGAAGAGGAGGAGGAAGAGGAGACCTGGCAGCTCCCTGCTGCCTCTGGCATCTGCACCCAGGGCAGATTTGCCCAAATTGGGGCCTCCACATCTCATGGTGGCCAGGTGGCTTCACACACTGACCTGGAGGAGGAGACCCTAATAAACTACACCATTCCCACCACCCCACAGGGTGGTCCCCACATGAAAACAAGCAGGAAAACCCACCTGAAAGGAAATGGATTTGTTTAACATTGCTGTTTTGCTCGGCATGCACGTGCAGGGAAGCTTTTAATTTGGATTAGAAAGAGAACTAAACCCCTTGAATCAATGGCCACACACTCTGAATCTGTGAGCCAAGGAAGAGCAAAACCCCCCGTGCCAAAGCTGGGACCAGCATCACAGGCAGCCTGGAAAAGCCTTGGCAAGGGGGAGCAGACACACCAACTGCTTGGGGAATTAAATTCCCTATCACACACAGCCTCTCTCCACCCTTAAAAGGTTGTCAAAATATTTGGCTTATCAGCCAGCCTCAAAGCCTATCTTTCAATTACCAGCCGAGGCACTGATGGGGCAGCTGCCTAGGTCAGATCATGGCACTGATTAGATGAGGAACATTATTAAAAGCCAGTCAGCAGTCAAGTCTCTGGGGCTGGTCCCCAGTGGTGGAGTGAACTAGTAAAGGGAGTTATGAGAATTACCTTGAAAACGCCTCGTCGAGACCATCATCCATTTCCTTTGTTAAAGAGATAAAAAGAGAGACAAGTAGTTGCTAAGAGAGCACACAAAAGTGTATTTAGAGGTCTGGCTCTGCACTTGAGCACTGGCAGACAAAAAATGTATGTGCATATTGGCTTCTGAGTGCCCAAATCAACCCTCCTCTGCAATCTGCCTCCTAGGGCAGGTTTTAGCTCTCTCTCTCTGCACAAGCCCCAAGGTAAGAGGTGCAACTCTGGGTGGTCCAGGCTTCCTCCAGGCAGATCCCAGAGCTTGGGTCAGGGATGCTGTGCTCCTCCCACAGCCCAGGGGTGGGGCCTTTTTCTCATCACCCCCAAACAGGCTGATACTGCCCCACTGCCTGTGTGCCCTGGGTCTGACCCATCAGCTGGAGCACAAGCCCCTCTGGAGTCAAAGCCAGCCCTTGGCTCTTCCAGCTCTCCCATGGAACTGGCACGTGCTGCGAGTTTCTACCATGAGGACAGAGCTCAGTGAGATGCTCCAGGCATCCCTGGAGCTTTTCTGGATCAGGAACCGGATCAGCAGCTCTGCACCAGCACAGGGGGAACCCTGAAAGCAGCTCTGGGACCCTTTATCTCTGATCTGCTCTCAAGGTTTTCCAGGGAAAGCACTGGAGTTGCTTGAGGGAGGAAAGGCTTCCCATGTAGGACCATGGGCTCTGTGTGAGGGCTTTGCTACAGACAGGCTGGACTGCTCCCAAAATCCTGTGATGCACTTACAGACTTAATGCAATTAATAAGTAAAGTATGAAAACTCTGTAAGTAGGGAAGGATTGGAGATTGCTGATAAGCCTCCAGGATTTGATTTAAGCTTAGAGCTGATCTTCAGGTTTAACCTGAAAAGCCTCAGGCTCAGGCCCGCCAGACTCAAGGAACAGGCCCCAGGCAAAGGCATTTATCCTTCAATTCTCCAAAATTCAGCAGACCAGGGGTTTCCAGAGAGGGCATAGGTTGGTGATCACAGAATGGTTTGGGTTGGAAGGGACCTTAAAGATCATCTTGTCCCAACCCCTGCCATGGGCAGGGACACCTTCCACCAGCCCAGGTGGCTCCAAGCCCCGTCCAACCTGGCCTTGGACACTTCCAGGGATCCAGGGGCAGCCACAGCTTCTCTGGGCAACCTGGGCCAGGGCCTCCCAACCCTCACAGGGAAAAATTTATGCCTAATATCCAACCCACCCCCACCCCCTTCCAGTTTAAAAAGGATGATGGAGCACTTGGGCAGGGAGGAGGAGGAGGCTCCCTTGAGGGATGCACACCCAGCACATGGGCTGCATCACTATTTTTCTATTAGTGGTCCATGAAACAATTAAGCCAGATGACTGAGGACATTTCCAGAAGCCATCCATGCTCCCACAGCCAGATACAGCCACAAACAAGAGCGAGGGAAAAATAAGAGTAATAATGAACATAAATATAACCTGGTTTTAGTGAGCAGTAAACAAAAGCCATCAACATAATGATTTTTTCCCCTGAACAGAGCAGTTAGGTGGTCTCTCAATTAAGTGACAAACCACTGAGAAATGCTGCTCCAGAATAAGAAATATTCAATTACCCGACAGCAGCGTTTTTCACAGCACCTCACAATCCTGTTCATTTATTTACTGAGCCTAAAAAGGGCAGCAGGTACTCAAACACTAATTAATCATTTCAAGTAGGACACTGAGACCCAGCTCATTTGGGCACCCCTGAAACCCTCCCTGAGCAGCTCGGCCACCCCACAGCTCCCAGGGGGAAGGAGTTATCCAAGGAAAAGCCCTTTGATGGGACCTGGAGCACACACATGGAGGTGGCACCGCACCCCCAGCTCCCACTTACCCACACCACGTTGTTGTTCACAGAGGAGCTGGGCCCAAACACGCTGTTATCCAAGTGGGGGGGGTCTGTGCTGCTGCTCAGGGGTGATTTGGCAGGATCTTCAAAATCCAGCAAGTTCCCCGTGGCTGCTGCTGTGGGTAGAGTGGAGAAGGGATGAGGGGAGGGGAAAAGAGACACACAACCAAACCTTTTGGCAATCAAATCAACTTCCTTCAGGATGGCCCCAAATCTGAGCATGGAGGAGCTGCATTCACCCCAGTGCTGATTTATCTGTGATTTATCTGTGATGTCCAGATCAGGCACCTGAGAACCTCTCAACAGGGATTCAGGGGAGGACCAGCTTCTTCCCTCCAGCAGCCAGTGGGAAGGCTCCTGGGTGCCCACTTATGCCCAGGATGAGTGAGGATCAGCCCCAGGACATCCCAGCCCAGGGTGGGAACAGGCCATGGGCAGTATCCTCAGCTCAGCCCACGGCATCAATTCAGCATCTTGCAAACCTGCATCAGTATTTTACAGGGCAAATCCTGCACTGGGCAAAGAACAGTTCAGAGCTTGGGGGTGTTCAGGGAAGCCTCAAATCCTCCCCATCAGCCTGCAGAAGTGCCCCAGCTCCAGAGCATCCCCCAGGCAGACACTGGAGCCATTCCCACACCCATGGCAGCCCAGGGCCACACTTATTCCCATGTGCCACCGTTTGTGACAGATTCCTCCAGTTCTGAGCCTTCACAGGAACAAACAAGATGTGCCAGCCTGGAAGGAAGCCCAGTTTAATGCTATTTTCCTCTGTGCCAAATCCTCTTATCTCCGTGGCCAGCATGGAAGAGAGATTAGCCTTTTGTCCCACTTCTCCCTGTCTCTCGTCTCGGAGGCAGCAGAGGACCCATGGCCAGGCACTGAATTATGAGGGGATTTACTATTTAATTGTTTTATTTCACACACCTCTCCTTCCTTGGGGGAGCTGGAGGCAGAGGGGCACCTGGATGTCCCCCTCCTTCAGCCCATGGGATGGTGAGTGTTGTTGTGGGTTTGAGACAAACCCGGACTCAAGCTCGGGATGTGGAGATCCACACTAAGCTCTTAAGGACATTATGGCCAATTTGCCTGGGGCAGAAGTAAACAGATTTGGGGTGGCAGCAGCTGTGGATGAGGGGCTGCAGGAGGTATTTAAGGGGGAGAAGGAGCGGCTCAGCCAAGAACTCTGTGAGGGCAACACCTCTGCTAGGCCAGAAGTGTAGCTCCTTGGTGGTTTTCAGAGCCTTCCCAGGAGCTTACCCCATTCAGGGAAAATCTCCCAGCCCTCAGGCTGCTCCCATCCCCAAGCCTGGAGCAAAGCTTGCTGTGGGTGACTTACGTGTGTCAGGGCGGGCAGGGGCTTCTGAGCTGGGGCTGCTCGTCCCTTCTCCTTCCAAGATGGACCTTTCCCGCTTTTCCTTCTCTGAAAAAGAAGAAAACCCCATCACTGCTCACAGAGTGCTTCCCCACAAGCTTTTAAGGAGGAGGAGGGATGTGGGACAGCTCAGATGGGGCACCCCTGCAGCAGCCCAGGCTCTGGGTGTGTTTCATAATCTCCTGGAAGGTGAAAGCAAAAATCCTGAGAGTGGCAGCAGAAATCCCGACAGGAACAGGTCTCTGAAGCACCACAGCCCAGCACCAGGTCCTTGAGCAAGAAAGGAGCACAGCCAAAATCTGGCTGGATTTACAAGGCTGTCGAGAGGAACCTGGAGATGCCTCGCGCCAGCTCTGGAAGCAGCCTGGAAATTTGGAGGCCGAGGGGAAAAGGCACTTGAAAGCTGGAAAAAGCCCAAAGTCATCCCTGGAAAGCGAAGAGAGGGAAGAGGGGAATAAAACTCACCTTCCTTAGCTGCTTGCCAGAGCTCAAAGGCAATTTTGAAGGCCTGTGCCACGGTGAGGGTGACGGCCTGTGCCTGGAACGAGAGCGGCGAGGCAGGATGTCAATCCCTGTGTAGATTTAAATCACTTGGAGGTTTTGCTTTCCAGATTCATGTTAACCTGGATCCAACCAGTCCTCTGGCCGGGGAGGGGAATCAAATATTGATGGAAGCAGAGACTTGCTCCGTGTAGGACACGCAGCTCGTTGTAGACGCATCCTCAGGTGTAATGGGGAGAGGGAGGAGGCAGGGACACGGCTGTCACAGCCAGCGTGGTGATGGATGGGGAGACAGGAACACACAGCTCCTCCTGCACCCCACACCTCAGCCCCAGGCAGGAGCTGCACAGATCCAGGCTTGTCCTCACAGCTCCCTGAGGGATGTGGTTCCCCCCCCACCGTGGAGCATCACCCATGAGAACAACACCACCTCACAGGGATCAGTGCCTGGGATGAGCCCTGGACCACAGCTGGCCACACGGAGCTGGGGAGGGCCGAGCAGAGCTGCATCCATCCTGCCCCAGCACGGCTATGAACACCAGGATGCCCTGAGAGCAACAGGATGAAACGCCAGGAATCTGCTGCTCTCTCCAACCTTGGAGGCAGGACGAGCCAAACCCCAGGCTCTTCCCTTGGTTTGGACCACCAGCCTTGGCTTGTCCTGCTCCAGCCCGGGCCACGGCAGGAGCAGGGACACCATCCCCCTGAGCCCCTCCATCCCTCCCCGAGCTTGAGCAGCACTAAAACCACCCACCACCACCTTAAACAGTACGAGCTGCTGGAGATGTATAAATAGTGACATAAATGCCAGTTTCATTAGGAGCAGGCACAGCTCAGGAGCAGCTTAAGCACCGGGAGATAACGAGGAACACTCCGCACGGCTGGCGCTGCGGGAGCCTCGAGGCCCGAGTTTGTTTTACCAAGTTGTAAACTAAACAAACCCGGATCCAGGTCAGGAACCTGCAGCCCTGGCAGCTCGGAGGATGGAGACGTGGAGGGACACAAATGGGGCACAGCATCCCGTGCAGGAGGGGGGGAGGAGAACCCCAAACCTATCAGTGCCAATTAAGCCTGGAAAGCAGGAGAGCTCGTTTGAATGTCAGAGCTATTTACATCTTTGATGGAAGTGCAAATGCTTTATGGCAAAAAAACCTTAAATATGGTAATTAAGTATGAAACTCCTCACAGCTGTTTACAATTTAAGCTGTCACATCTGAATCAAGTTTAATAGACCCAGCTACCGTTGAGAATTACCCATGAACTAAAAATATGGACTAATTATATGCCCATGGCTGGTAGCTGTGGTACATCCAGGGACCCTGCCCTCGGGAGGGATCCCAGTCTGGGAGCAGGGATCACCTTACCAGCAGGATGTTTATGCATTTTATAGACTAGGAAAAAAAATAAAATTATTTCTAGTTTTTGCCACAAAAGGCCTTGGAGAACTTTATTTGGAGGGAGACGCACTGAGCTGATGTACCACTGAGATAATTCTTTTAGCACTAGAAAGATTTAAATTTTAATTTGCAGAGCAAGGCTTATCTTTGCCGTGCAAGGATGGGAGCACACGCCGTGGAACGGAGAGACAACTTGTAGCTTCCATTATTCTCTCCATGGAAAAAAAAAAAAAAGAGTTGGGAGAAGCACAGAATATTAACAAGAGTGAGGTGGCTGCACTCCAGGCACAGGAATGCTCCTGAGAACCCAGGAATCACCACGCTGGGACGCAGGGGGTGGGAATGGCTCTCAGCAGGTTTGTTTCCCTGTAGGTTTGGGAGATCCCATTCTCCACGTGGGCCCTGTAAGAGGCACTAGGGGAAGGATTTATGCAGGCAGAGGGGTTGGACCTGCCTTTCCTCTGCCCTAAAGTCCCTTCCTGTCACAGGGAGGGGGCTCAACTGGCTCCATGAGAGACCTCCAGGGCTCTCCTTGCCCCACTTGCAGCCGGTGCCCACTGACCCACCTCCCTCCCTCACCAGCTCCGGGTCCCTGCCCGTCCTGGTGCACTGAATCAGCAGGAAAAAAATCCCACAAGCAGGTCCAAAGCAAGAGCCAGAGACTCTTTTGTACGCACAGGCCTCTGCTCTGAGCCCCATCCCTGGCACACAGTGGGGTGTCCCACGCCAATCCCACAGGAAGGACACAGCCCCGCCACAAAGACGCCGCTAAAAACTGGACACAGAACCTCGATGGCGAGAAATGGAAGGGAGCCAGGGAGGGCAGCAAGCCCAGAACAGCTGGGCTGAGAGCCTCCCTCATTGGGGTCCCCCCAGGCACCTCAGTGGCAGCCTCTCTGGAGACCCCCCTGCCTGCCAAAGCCTCTCCACACGCCGGGCTCAGACCGGCTCCGGCAGCCCAGGGAAGTGGATGCAGAGCAGGGAAGAGTCCCAGCAGCTGGGAATGCAGCATGGAAGGGGATTTTCAGGTGCTGTTGCAGGGTCAGGTCCTCTTACTCCCACCCCAGAGGGCAGAGAGGCTTTTAGGTGCCAAGACAACAGGCTGAATCCAGCCTGGAGTTAACGGATAGGCCATCCCCCCTCTCTCTAGCTGGGGGCAGAGCTCTTATCTCACCACTTCAGCCCCTCTCTGCTTCCTCCTCCTACATCCCCACTTCTTCCTCTGGACTGACCATTTTCCGTTTGGTACAGAGGAAGGCATGGCACTCCAGGTTCTCATTGAGCTGGTTCTGGGCAATGTAGGCAAACACTTTATCGTGGATCTTGTCTGCCGTGCAGTAGGATATCCTGAAAGACAGAACGAAACGTGTCTGGGGCACTGAGCACGAGGCAGATCCACCAACCCCTCCTCGGAGCTGCCAGCAGGCGCCTGCCCCAGGGCTTCCAGCTCCAGGGCCAAGCAGGGAAGGCAGAGGGAGCACAGGAATGTTGCCAGGCCTCAGCACAACTCCTTCCCAAAGTGGAGGAGCCGATGCCACGGGGTTTGAGTGCAAGAGAAGCCCAGAGCCACTCCCGCAGCCACAGCGTGACCCACGTGCACCACACGGAGAGGCAGGAGAGAAGAGACGAGACAGTGTTTTTCACCTTCTGGGAAAGGACAGGTTAGAGGAGGTAAAGATTCCAGCAGGCCATCCTGGGACTACACCTGACAAAGGCTCTGCCTTCAGAAGAGAGACTCGCTCAGAAGGTTTTCCCTGGAGGATGAGCTTGCAAGGAGAGAGGGGTTGCTCCCAGCCTACGATTTAATCTTGAGGCTCAAACCAGAGAAAAGAAATTGATGCAGGAGTGCCCAAGAGAAGCTGTTGCAAAGGCTGAAATTCAGGCTCTGAGATCTGCAGCAGCAGATGCACGGGATGCCCTGAGAGCCCTGAGCACACTGGATGTGGGGAGGGAGGCTCAGCCTCCTCCGTGGAGCATCCCCAGGATGGCAGAGTCTCTCCCAGCCCCTGGGCAGGTCCAGGCTGACTCTGAAATGCCAAACAAGGCCCTGGAAGAGCAACAGGCTGGGGAGACCAGGCTGTGATTGAGGGCTCAGTTCCCTTCTGCAGGGCAGCAGGTCCCTCAGCATCAACCTCCACCATCGCCCATGGTCCGTCCCTGCCAGGAGCTGCAGGACTGAGTGTCCTGTCTGAGGCCAGCAAGCACAGGCTGCAGCAGTCCCACAGGTTTAGTGCAAGGTGGCAGCCAGCAAAGCCTCTTCCCTGGGCACACAACAGATCAAACAGCTGTTAAGGAAAGAGAAAACTCGAGTAAAAAGTGCTCAGTGAAAGTTCTCCTATGGCCCCATTTTGCCCCTTCAGCTCCTGCTCTTGCTGTCCCTGAGAGTTTGCAGGGAGGGGACTGGAAGGTCCCAGTTCCCAGCAGATGCTGGGACTTAAAAAAGCCACATTCAAAATTTATTTACACTGCATTAGTTTCTTACATGTGAGGATGTCTCTGCTCAATGGCCTATATTTTGCTTTCCAGAGCTGAGCTGTGCTCTGGTCTTATCAAAGAGGCGCCTGGAAGTTCACTCTTTTCTCCCATTTTTCACGAAACTGCAAGGTCACTCCTTTAATAATTATGACAAAGCCAAGGCAAGTCATCTGTGCTGGCACGTGGCCCTTCCAGCACCCCCTGGCTCAATATTAGATGGTCATTAATTTCCAGGGACAGGAGAACTCACACCTGCCTCTGAAGTGAGCCAGTTTTAGCCTCTGGCAGCAGCACATCCAGTGACAGTGGCTGTGTTTTAGCCACGGCCACCCCGTCCTGCCCCAGCACACGAACCAGGGAAGAGCTCAGAGCCAGCATCATCCCAGTGGATAGAGAAGCCAAGGAGAAGAAGCAGAGGTGTCAGAGGAAAGCCCTGGGCCTGCCACTGGAGGGGCACACTCACAGAGTCGATAGAAGACCCCCCATACACACAGATCCCACTTGTCACCATGACCCCACAGCACCAGTGTCTCCGGGGAGCAGTGACAGTCCCCAAAACAGCCTGTTTGGGAAGGGCTGGCTTCAGCCAATGAATCAGGGGCTGCTCATACTCTGGTGCTGACAGGAACAGCTTTATCGACAGCTGTTAAAGTGTCGGGGGAGAATTTAAGGCAGCATCTAAAATCCCTGATCCCACAGCTCTGCCTGCTCTTCCACCAGCGCAGGGATCCCGATTTTGGCACGGCTGCTTTGCCCAGCTCTGCTTTAGCAGCAGGTTTCTGTCCCAGGGAGGGCTGGGCTCTGCGCCCCTGGCTGTGTGTGGCTGCTGGGGTTTGGAACTGAAGAAAAGCAAGTGGGTTAGTGGTGTGGTTAGAGAGAACCCTGAGCCCCTGCTCCCCTTCCCAGGTCTAGCACAAAGCAGCAGGTGAAGGACAGAAGCAGAGTGGCAGGGATGCAGAGGGAAAAGGGATGAAGGAGATGGAAAAGGCCAGATCCAAACTGAGCTCTGTTCCACCAGGCCTGTGCCTACCTCCTGCCACTTTGGAAGAAATGCTTCCAAAAGAAGTATCTTCCAAAAGCCAGAGGAGGGGATATGGGATAACCCAACCTTGCCCTTCCCACCCTGATACCATGTCCCAGCAGCTGCCCCAGCCCTGCTCCCTGTCAGAGCCATTTAAACACAACAGAGACACGGAGCAGGCACTGAGGGGACAGCAGCCCCAGCTCAGGGGTGCTCTGACCATCCTCTGTATTCCACCCTTGCCCTCACCCTGGATGCTCTGGCATTTCTACTGCCACAAACAGGCAGTAAAGCCACACGTGGCCACGGAGTGCTTGGCTGTGGATCTGCTGGTTTTTGCACACACTCCACCTCCAGGCTCGTCACGTCTTTCCTTGCCCCCAGCTGGACACGTTGCACCACACGTAAATTTACCTTAAATTTATCACCCACTCTCCTTCTCCCACCTTTGCTTTCCACCCAGACGTGGTGGCCAGCGAGGCAGCAGCTCAGGTCAGGTGGAGGTGTAGCAGAGGAGCAGCTCTGGCACACGGAGTGCACCCCAAAACCCACCTGTATATGGAGATGTTCTCGATCAGCTCGTTCGTGCTGCTGTCGTTCAACACGATCCCCCGGGGAGAGACTTTCAGAGTCACTTTCTGCAGCTTCTTCCCACTTGCTTTCGCCTTTGGAAGGGAAAGAGGGAGGGGAAAGTTCCAGGCTTTTAAGGGTGATACCTCCAAAGGCACGTGAGCAGAGACCCCAGAGACGCACATTAATATCGCTCGTTACTGCTGGAGACTGATTTTACCAGCAGGTGTGATAAAGCACTTGTTAAAACTTTTCCTGCCCTGAAGCCATGATTTTTACTGGCACCAAGGAGACAAGGGCACACACCACCCACTCCATGCCGTGCACAGGCACTTCCAGCCCAGCACCTCCACAGGGATTTCCCTGTGGCCACCAGCACGAGCCGGCAGCTGCTCTGGCCGAGCCCTGCGAGCGCCTGGTGAAACTCTGGGGAGTTTTGCCTTTAGGGCCAGTTCTAGAGCAGAGGGGACACCAGCACGAGCAAGGGAGCTGTGCTGGGAGCGGGATGGACCTGGACAAAGTGGGCTCCCAAGGAGCTGGCTCTGAGCTGTGCTGCCAGACCCCGCTCCCGCAGCAAAGCATCCCCTGTGCAAGGCCACGATGGCAGCTTAAAAAGTAACTCCACTTTCATGTGCCACTTTCTCTTATTTACTACTCTCATGCTTTCAGCCTTCAGGTTACACTCAGCTCACTGCCCAGCCCGTCTCCAAAAGAAATAATACACATCCAGTGAGTTCCAGGCTGCAGACCAGGATCCTCTGCCCTGGTGACCTCATGAGCCACAACCAGAGTGGCCAGTCCTGCCTCTCTGAGGCCGCCTCAGCCCCGTGGCTTTATTTAAAGGCTCAGTTCCCAGTGGCTCAGAGCAGACGTGGAGGGCTCTGCCAGCAGCTCCCGCTTCACGAGAGCGCTTCCCTCCGTCCGGCTCAGCACATGCCAGGAAAGGATCCAGCACTACCCAGTGCTGTCCACCACCCCACTGAGCTTTACAGCAGTTAATGGCACAGCTGGGGCTTTGCCTCACTCAGTTTTACAAGGGCTTAAAGTGTGGATTTCACTCGGAGCTGGAGGGTGGCTGAAAACCAGTCCCTCCTGCATCACGGGTTACAGTGGGACAGCGGCTGCTCCGGCTGGGAATTGGAGCTGCCCTGCTCCCTTCCCCTCTTAACCCTGCCAATCCTGGGAAGGAAAACCCAGAACTGCACTGGCCATGCTCCAAATGCTGTCCCTGCCTTTCAAGAGGAGACACAGCCCCAGGGCAGGCTGATTTCACCAGGTCAGAGGCTTCTCACACACCCAGGGTCACTCAGGCTTATCAAGGGGAGCCAGAGCTCAGACACTCAACACCAGCTTCCCACAGCCTGCCCCATCCCAGGGTCAGGGCTGGCCCCAAGGGCTTTCCAGTGGCACTGTCTGTGGTTCTACCCACACCACCAGACATCTGCACGCCTCTGGAGGGGCTGGACCTGCAATCCTGATCCCCCCCAGCCCACAGCTGCCTCCAGACCTGAGGATTTTGAAACCCTCCCCGGTGACAGACTCGTTTGAAGAGCAGGAGACGGGGCTCTGCTCCAACACAGACACTCACAGTGGCCACAATCCTTTTGACAGCAGCTGCAGAGAGCTCCTCTCCCTTGGGCTGCTCCACCAGTGTCATCCCCATGTACTTGAGGCTGAAGAGCATCCCCTCCAGCAGCGTCTCGCGGGTGTCAGTCCAGTTCTCTGGGAGCTCTAGGGAGACAACAAAGAGGCTCTTGGATTCCCAAACACACAAGGGACATCCCTGAGGGTTTAGGTACAAGCAGGGTGTTGGTTTAGCTGCTGCCTGGACTCCCAGGCCTGAGCAGCTGGGAGCTCAGGGAAGGAGATGGGGCAGAGACCCGGCTGCTGGAGGAGGCAACAGAACACTTCAACCACGCAGCAACCACGAGGTGCTCACGTGGGGAACCTCATCATCAGCCTCTGCAGCTCTCCAACACAGCAAAAACGAATCCCAAAATGCTTTCCACAAGCCACAACAAACAGAAGCAACCTTTTAGTTTAACTGTGAGCACGCAGAACCACACCATAACCAAGGGGATCCTGAGCCCCAGCCCAGTGCAGGGCTCGGTGCCACAGCAATGACCTTACCCAGTGCAAACCATCACCTACACACTCAGGCTAAGACAGGATTTACTGCTAAGCCCAGGCAGCTGCCAGGACCCAGGTGAGGTGCTTTGACCTCCTAAATCGGTCACCTACAGCCCTGAGGAGCCCTCACACAGGTGAAGCCTCAGCGAGGAGAGGTCTCTGCTCTCCCCTGCAAACCACCAAGGAGACAACTGGCCTCTTCCCTGAAGTGCAGGGAGGGTGGGAAGGAGTGTTCTAAATACAGAGCTAAGTTTGGGACCAAAGTGAAAGTCAGGTGGGTGTTTCTAAACCTGAAATTACACCACAGGAGCCACCTTCCAGACCTGGAGCTGGCAACCCAGGATGTGCAGCTCTTGTGTTTTAAGGAGGGTCTTGCTTTGAGCAGGAGGCAACGAACCACAGCCCTGAGGAGCGACGGGGCTCCCAGAGACTAAACATGTCCCTGAGGCTTTGCTGCCTCGAAATCGGCCTCCTCCAAGCAGTGGGGCCAAACTCCAGAGCTCCCTGCACACCTGCAGGGCAGGAGGGCTGGGCTACAGGGATGTGGGGGACCTGGCTACACCCCTGGGATAACCCCTGGTGACTCAGCCTCCCTGCAAAGGCAGGACAGGAGATAAGCCATAAACCCCAGCACCACTCCCAGCGGTGAGACACCGGTGAGACTCCAGCCGGAGTGACGGAATCCAGGTGGGAGTGGTCCCATGGGGAGTGCAGGGCTTCTGTGCCCAACACACAGCTCCCGGAGAGGGAAAAGGAAAAAACCAAGGACAGGTGGGATGCTGTGTTAACCTGGTATCCCAGAGGGTGCCAGCACAAAGCCTGGATTTCCCAAAAGCCAAGGGCGCTGCCACTGTCCTCCCGTGAGCACTCCAGGATGGTTTGTGTGCCACGGACAGGCAGCTCCCTGCCCCACCTTCCCTGCCCCACCAGCCAGGCACTGGTCCCGTTATCACCGAGCTCAGGGACACTCCAAACACCCCACACTGCCTGGGGTGATGCCACCTGCAGCCAGGCCCTGGGACGGAAATAGAGGTGGTTTAAGCAAAGCCACTAAAGTGCTTTCAGAGAGGAAGGAGCAACCCGGCAGGACAGAGACACTTCTCCACACATCCTGTTCTGCACCCTCTGCCCTCACCCATCCTCCCATGGTTAGCACACAACCATCACCCAGCCAAGGGCAAGGGGGGCAGTTTTCAAGGTCACGGCATCTCGAGGGGCATCTCTGCCGGGCACACCCGCCAAGGGCACGTTGGGCAGCACCCCACACACGCCGCACGGCCCCCCACCCCATCCCACCCCCCTCCCCAAGCCCCGCGGCTGCCCCCCAGCCCTCCGTGTCCCGCGGCTGCTCCATCCTTAATCCCAGGTGTAACGACGCCGGGTCAATCCCATCGGATTAGCAACAGCAAGAAGTTTGATCTCGCCGCGGGTGGCGAGGGGTGCACGGGGGCAAAGCTCCTCCCGTCCTGCCGCTGCCACGCTCGGGGTGGGGGGAGCCGGGCCGGTCCCCCCTTCGCCGGGAGGGCGCCCGGCTGGGGCCGAGTGGCCGCTCGCCACGGGGCCATCGATCGTGTGACAAAGCCAACCGCGGGACGAGGTCAGAAACTGCCCGCCGGGCTCCAGCCCTTGTCCCAGGCTGGGGGACGGGGACAGACCCCCACCCACCACGGGGGGACGGGGATAGACCCCCACCCGCCAGCGGGGCACAGGGACAGCCCCCCCACCCATCATCCCCACCGGGGGACGGGGACAGACCCCCACCATCCATCCGACCCCGCTGCTGCACAGGGAAGAGGTGCAGGGGTGTGTAAGGGGGGGGGGAGCGAAGAGCGGGGGCAAAAAGGGAGCTAAAGGGAAAAGTTAAAAAAAAAAAGGTGCGGGAGAGAGAGAGAGAGGGGGGAGCAAAGCAGAAAAGGGAGTACAGGGGGATGGGAAAGAGGGGAGAGAGAGGACGGGGCAAAGCAGCGTGAAAACGGGGCGCAAGACGGAGAAAGCGGGGAGGGGGGGGAAAAGTGGGTGCAGGGGGCACGAGAAGCGGGATAAAGCCGGGAAGGAAGAAAGGCGGGATGCAGGACAAGGGGGGGGTGCAGGGAGAGCGCGCTGGCGGGAGGGGAGGGGTAAAAAGAAGGGCGCCGGGTCTCACTCTTGTGCCGGCCGCCGGCCCAGGAGGGTTTGTGGACGCTGGGGCTCCGCAGCAGGGCACGACCCGCCGACTTCAGCGCGTCCATCCCGGCGCCTCCCGGCCCGGCCCCGCCGCAAACTTTGCTGCGGCGCCAGCGCTGACCGCGTCCGGGGGCGGGGCACATGCAAATTTGGGGTGTGTGGCGTCATGTTTGGCCACGCCCTCCGCGCCACGCCCTCGCCCCAAAACCGGCGCGGGGGGCCCGCGGGGTCCCGTGGGGATGCGCGACCCCCCCGAGCCTGCGGGGACGCCGAGACCCCTCACACGCCCGCTGGTCCCCCCCCGGATTGCTCCCACTGGAGCTTCCCCCACTGGAGACCCCCGCCCCGAGCCCCCCGGAGCCGCCCCACGAACATCTATGTCCCAGCTCCACAGGATCGCCTTTGGCCGGCACCGCCACTGTGATAAATATATAAATAAACACATCACACCGTGCTCAGTCACTTCTGCACAGCCCTGCTGCTCCTTCCCCCTGGTTCCTCCGCAGCAGCTCCACCTTTCCCAAGGGGATCCCGCCTTCCCCACTCAAATTCCATCACCACCGGCTAAATATATCACACCATTCTCAGTGACCTCTGCACTCACACAGCCCTGCTGCTCCTTCCCACTGGTTCCTCCTCCGCAGCTCCACCTTTCCCACTCAAATCCAGGGCAGGAAACCCCTACGACCCAAACTGTCTCAGTTCAGCGTACTCAGTTTGCTCCCCTCCCCACGCCAAAAAGATTTAAAAAAAAAACCCCCAAAAAAAAAAAAAAAAAAAAGTTATGTTTGCCCCATGAGGTGTTTGATTGTCCCCGTCCCAGGATGAGGAAATGCGATAGGATATTTTAATATCCTGTTTGATAAAGTCTGGCCTGGCCCCTCCGTGTCACCACGGCCACCAACGTGCTCTTAACTCAGCCTGAGCATAATTGAATGGAAGATTAAGGCCTTCACAGGCTTTCCGAAATTAAAGAGATAATAATGAGGAGGTTAAACCCCATATTTAGGATTTGTAGAATAATGCCTCCCAAAGCCTATTATTCACAGAAGCATTTGTGTAATTGAAAAATCCCTTTTTAGTTCAATTTTAACCTTCCCCTCTCACATTTGTAGCCGGGAGCCGAGGCACAGGAGTCACACCGAGTTGCTCTCCGTGGGACACAAGCGGGTGGTGGAAGGGGTTGAGCTGAATTTCTCACCCAAAAAATCCCAGTCTAAAGCAGGACGGAGCCAGTGGCACATCCCCACTTAGTGCCTGGTTTGAATCTGAGCACGTGGGGGTGAGCTGGGGATGGTGACCAAAACTTGAAAGGAGAAACTTCCCCCGAGGGCTGACCACGTCAGAGGCTCTCTGAGGGCAGCAGCACACAAACACCAAAAACCTGAAAAAATCGCTGTGTTAGGAGCAAATTGAAGCACAGACACAGATCCAGCTCTGTGCAGCAACTCACTGTAAATATCTGTGCTTACTGGAAGCACATACACGGATCCAGAAGGGTTTTAAGCCAAGCTCTAGTGTTTCCCTAAATCATGGATGAGCTCTGCTCCCATCCAGCAGCCCCCATTGCACTGGAGGGCTTCCTGCTTCCCAATACCTGATAAGGCAGACACCTTTGCCATTAATTATTGATAAATCAGCCTGAGGAAGCCACCAGCAGGTATTGGACACATCTGGGATTCACATCCCTATTTCTGTATTTTGCATCATCACTGGCTAAATATAATCACACCGTGCTCAGTCACTTCTGCACTTGCACAGCTCTGCTGCTCCTTCCCACTGGTTCCTCCGCAGCAATTCCACAGGACACTCACTCGCCACCATCCCCATGGGGACAGATCCACAGAGTTCCTGCTGCCACGTCCTCCCCTGCCACAGCTGCTCCTCTCAGGGCTCACGGGGTGTCCCCCCCGATCCTCTGGTTGTTACTGCAAGGGGTGTCAGACCCAGGGCAGTGCTGCCTTACCCAGCTGAGCTTTCCCACTGAATCCCAGCGCTGATGTGGATGTTTGCCCCTTCCCTGGCTGCCTGCACTGTCCCAGGTGGGTGTTACCTCAGGAGAACAGCAGAATGTGTTTCTTCAAGTGTCACCACTCAAGTTTGGAGAGTGAAGGGCCGGGACAGCAGCCTGGGAGAGAGGAGTCATCATTCATGGTCTCCATCGTGGCTGTGCCATCCAAGCCAGCTTGAAAGTCATCACTTGAGTTTAAAATATCCTTGTGTGGTAAAAGACTACAAGTGTCACCTCCCTCAGGAAGGCAGAGCTCAAAATCTCCTCTCCACACCCACCTCCCTGGGTGGGATAGCAGGCTCTCCTCCTGCAGGAGAAGCCCAGGGGCAGGTGGGTCCTGGGGGCCAGACAAGCAGAGTCAAACCTATTTATTAATTTCCGGGTGCTGAGCGTGGCAGAGCAGCGATTTTTTTTAGGAAATCTCCTTGTTTTCTCTCTCTCGTGGTGAGCAGCACATGCCTGACCTCCTCACCCCTCCCTGCCCGGCCCATCACCACCCATCCATCTCCCGGTAATTGTCCTCCCTCCTCCCGAGCCGCCGGCTCCGCTCGGGCTCCTCTCTCAAGGTTATTTTCGGCTCTGCAGCGTCACCGGAACACACACGAGTTTGCAGCTCCAGTTTTGCAGCAGTGGGGCTGCACCTCTCCGCTGCTCCCCACATCCAGCATCATCTCCTTAATCCAGGACACACGAACAAATCCTCACCACTCTTCCTCACCCTTCCTCCCAGATCACAATTAAATAAATGCAGCTTTTCAGGGAAACTTCTGAGTTGTTTTGTAATGCTGATGTGTTTTCCCAGATGACAGGGGGGGGTTTTTTTGGAGCAATCTTTACCACGAACATGGAGCCCTGGAGGTAAATCCAGTGACAAGCTTTGCTGTGAGGGTGGGTGCTCGTTTGCTCCCCGCTTTAATTAATTATTGAAGTCAGCAAAGTTGTGCTGTCCCCCAGCCACGGACACCCACGTTCCCGAGGCTTTACTCGTTCACTGTCTCTTCATGTTTACAGCAAAGTGCATTAATAGCAAATTAACATCTCTGGGGGTGGTTAAAAGGTGATCACTAATGGAAATCTGAGCTCCTTCCACCCTGTCAAACCCAGCCGCGTTTGCCTCCTAATAAATTGGCATCTCTGCTGAGAAGGCCCGTGTCTAACTGCCTGTGTGATAAAAAGACCAATTGCTGACATTTTCCACTGTTTTCCCTTCCTTTGACATTTCATTAAGGAGAAAATAACACCAGCAACTACAAATGTGCTCTCATTGACATTTGTTGGCCGTAACGTGGCGAGTTGCCCTGATTAAGTGAGTAGTTGAGGAGCGGGACATTCCCCGTCTCCAGGATCACAGAGTCCTCCCACGGCCCTGCAGAGTCTCAGAAAATCCTGAGCTGCTCCCCCCATCATCTCCCCAGCTCAGGAATCACCTCAGCTCACCCCACTGCCAGGAGGCTGAGCTGCAACCAACCCAGACCTCAGCCCCTGTCAGTAAATCTAATTTATAGGCGTGCTTAGGACTTCAATTACCACAGTCGTTAACAATTTGTTAATGAGTCAATTAACATGCTTTGGGATCTATGCAGAAAGGGCATTATAAATATGATAACGTCAAATATTGCAGAAATAAGTATCTGACTGTACCAGGACTGGGCCAGGAGCTGCTGTTGGTTGCAGGGTGTGTGTTCCCTGCTCGGTCACAGTGGTTGTGGTGTCACCTGTGCAAGGGGCTCTCTGGAGATGGGACCAGCTCCAGCATCACTCTGATGCCAGGATGCCCAGGTGGGAAACCAAGTTTGACACGAAACACTCATTTTACCAGCAGCCAAGTGGGTGCTGTGAACCCCAGTGTGGGGCTGTGCTTCTGTCCTCGAGTTTTTCCCACATAACAGGAAGGGGTTTGAGCATCCTGAAGAAGGCTGGAGCTGTATCCAGGCCTGAACCAGGAGTGTCCTCTCTTGGATATTCAGTCACTCTCTCCCAGATCCCTGCTCCTGTGGATCTGGATCCTCACCCTGCCCCATACAAACCCCAAGAGCAAAGCCCCAGCTGCTCCCCCCTGTACAGCCCCCACACACAGAGGGGCAGCAGTGATGCCAAATGATCACACTGATTACCATCCCTGGTGCTAAAATGATCCTCCCCTGCTCTCCCAAAACACCGAGGCTTGAATTTTCTAATTTTTGTGACCTCTCTTGTACCACACTCGTGTTTCTCTCCCACCCCGCAGCCCAGCTGCTTTCTCCTGGATCAGGGACACAGCCTGGCTGTGCAGGCTGAGCTGATGGAAAACAGGCCCAGGGCAACGAGCAGGAGCAACTTAATTACAATCAAAGCCTGTCAGCCTGGTCAGTGTGTCCCATCAGCTGCAGGGACGGGGCAGGACTGAGCTGAACGTGCAGCAGGGAAACTGGAGCTGGGGTGGCCAGCACAGCACCATCCTGCTCCCAGGGACGCTCAGTGCCAGACACTACAGAGGATGGGGCAGATCATCTCCTAATCCTTAGCAATTAAAGCCTGGCTTAAACTTGAAAGCATAAGATTTAATGTCTCTTAAAATTTCTTATATTAATTAGCCCGGATCTGCAAATTCTTGGGTACCAAGAAGTAAATCTCACTCTTTTTTTTGGAGATTTACACCCTTTTTGGTCTGAGCGATGTCCTGCAGAGGAAATCCCACAGCACAGCTGCTCTCTGTGGCCAGCACCAGTCTTCAAAAATCTGATGCCAAAGGAGCTCTCGTATTTTGCCCTGGCAGCAAATTGTAAACGAGGCAGGAGCTGATGAGAAAAACAACCTCCCTCCCTGCTCTGCTGCTGGTGGAGGCAGGAGGTGCCTTGTACACCCTGTCACTGAGCCACAGCCCCTTCCTCGGAGGGAAGAAAGGCTCTTGTGACCAGAGGAAACTGAACTGAGGAGCTGAGTGTGACGGGAGGGATGAGGGATGGAAAATCCACATCAGCACTGCTGCCATCCAGGGAAATTAGAAGCTGTGCTTGTTCCCAGTGTGTGTTTGTGGTTTGTTTCCCTGCAGACTCGCTTTCCCTCCCTCTGCAAACACACGTCTGCACACCCAG